TAAATTCCTCATCAACCGATATAACCTTAAACATTCTTGGAATTGACATAACATTACTGATGTCGTACACACCCTTCAGTGTGAAATGTGGCTCTCTTTGCAAGCACATCTAACAACATCTAAGGAAAGAAGAGCTTAGATTGGTACCAGATAAAGTAATTTTGTTATCAACATTAATACATTATGCTAATTTTCATCTTTGTAAGCGCATAAGACAGTGAAAATTATTTCTGTGACAGTCTTTTGAAGTTTGTAAAGCTCCATTTTAGCCCATACATAGTCAAAATATTGGGGGGGGGGGATGATACAATGGACCATCCCCCCCTTGTCAAATATTGGGCGGGGGATATATCCCCTCCATCCCCCCCCCCCGGGATCTATACCCGGGATCTACGCCTATGCATTGCTGTAAATAAGGTCTATTATTTTATTATTTTATATTATAAGTAAGGCATCAGAACGCGCCTTACCTACCTTTCAGACTATTGCGCGACAATTGACTACCACTACGGTAGAACCACTATATAATAATTAAAGGGAAACTTTCGGGACCAAAGTTGTAGCCCTAATAGGGATCCCAGGAGATACTAACCAAAAATTTAAAATTGTCCCCTTACAATAGGTTTTTTGAGCACGGATATGTCATCATCGACGTGGCCTTATTTTATTTCAATCGACCTAAGAATTATATAGGCCTAACATAATTAAACTAATTTGTAAAAATAGGCCTATTTGCAATGCAAGTACAATTCATGTATGATATAAAATTAATGTGTTGATAATATTTCATTATGATTTGTATGGAAGGCCTATAACTACTATGTAGGTCTATAGAGTGGTAAGGAGCTCAATGACCTCATCAACAAATCCGAGCGTCTTACGAAATGCTAACTGAAGCTATTATAGAAGCCGAGCAAGCCGAGTCTCCCCAAGATGACTGAGTGAAATTTTCTAGAGTCACATATTATGATACAAACAATTCAAATAAAGCTGCATTCACATTTGATCCGATTTTCTAATCGGTTCGTCGTAAACTTTCCGATACGAAAATTCGGATTCGGTGTGTGAATCTGACTGAGGAAGGGCTAAGTTCCCCCAAGACGACCGAGTGAAGTTACATATGGTGAAAATTTTCAACTAAAGCTACATTCTAATCGGTTCGGTAGGCTTTCCGATGCGAAAATTCGGATTTGGTGTGAATGCGCCTTTACTACTGCAACTTTTAGCCGGCGTTGGTGGCAGCAAGCTAAAACAAGTAGATTTCACACACACAAAACGACAACATGGCAGGAGATCAGGAAAGTGTAGTTGGAACTGATAGTAGTTATTGGCCAGTTATTCTCACATTTTTAAATGTATACAGTATAATTCCATGTACCTTTAATAAATTACCAGCAGTTGCGACAATATTTAAGTCAGGAAGTACAAAAGGGATCTCACTAACCGCGATGTTGCTGGAGACTTACTGGTAAGTTCAATCAAGTGTGTACACTTCGAAATATGGACCAAAGGTCTATTTGTGCAATAATACAACAATTGCCGGTTGGTAAATCCTACTCCGATCTGATCGTATTATAAAGCCCATTCATTGTTGTTTTTTGACGTTGGTGAATTATCAGATACTATCTAGCCTAGGGCTAGTTTCAAATGTACGGCTTTGTGAACTTCAGATTTTAAAAAGCCATGATGCCTTCCAAAGTTCATGTTTTTTTTAACAAGTCAGTCCTGTACTCTGTACAGTAGGGTTGTGGTAGGCAGCTACATTTCATTAAAAAAAAAAATTATTTGAATTGATTCAAAGATCATCACTGTCTCTGATTTCCTTTTTTTCAATGCCATCGTTGATTGTTTTTAAGAAGTGTGTAAATGCTTTGAATCCCAACACGATGGCGTGTATTTCAATACTTGGAGTATGTATTATACTTTCTTATCGTAAATGCTCTGTCCTCGCTATCAAATTTTATTTGACAAGTTTATGTGATGTGCCCATATTATGGTCATGATGATGTCAATGGTCATACACCCAAATATGGGCATATCACAATATTTGTCACGTTAAATTTGATAGCGTGGACAGAGCTTAAAGCATGCAAGGTCTTCACATCTTTGTTTCTGCTTTCTTTCTGCTAGTTTTTCAGTCATCCTGATTTACAACTTCATGAAGGGTTATTCACTGGCATTATATGGAGAGTATGTATTGGTTCTCATACAAGGTAAAACCAAATTATAACATACCAGCAGAGGTGGTGCTAGTGGGGGGGGGGTCAATCAATTACTGTAATAAAGCCTTTGAAACCCCCTGGACCACTTTCGAAAGATTTTGATCGACGCCGAACCACGCCCACTTTGCTCTCATCAGGGACCTCGTCAATCACCCCCACCCCCACCCACCCCTGGCTGGCGTCACCTCTGCATTCCACAGTAACTTATGCTGTTTTTGGCTCCAAATTATTATTAGAAGATATTAAATTTTTAAAAAAAATTTTTTACTATCGCAATACAACTTTGGATTATTGTTTTTCTATATTTTTCTCTCCTTTTTGTGCATAGAGATGGTTCTTATATCAGTAATGCTGTCGTATCGTGATTTGCTTAATGTTAAGTCACTGGCTATTGCTGCACTGTATCCTTTTACAATGTATTCATTCTGTGTGAGTTGTAAGAAAGATTCTGATTTTCTCTTAAGTTCCACAGGTGTGTAGGCAGGTTTCATCGTAAGGGAGTGCCAAAATTGAGAAAGCAGAACTAAATTTCTATTCCAATGGAAACTTAATGGACATTTTTAGTATTTTAACTCATTTATAGTGCAACTTATTTTCCACATGGTGACCCCCACCCAGATTCCTACGCCCATGTTCCACATGTTCTCAAAAGTTCTAATATCACTCATCCTCAGCTTATGATAAACAAATTTATTTATCTGCTGTATCAGTAAGTAAATTTTGCATACAGATACTAATTTTCTAATTGTTATAAAATTGAAAAGAGTATGTGTTGGCCTTGACTTGAACCTGCTCAGGTCATTTACAGCTTTCGTTGTTTCCGGTTCTGGGTTAGTTCCAATTGGAATTTTATCGATTACAATGGTAAGAAATGCAATTAAAATAAAAGTTTTAATGTTTTTCTCAATAATTAATAGCAGCATACAGTACATGTACATCACTATTCCTTAGTTATACTTTGCATAGACCCATGGTCAGTGGCATATTCAAGGGAGGAGCCCTGCCAGTCTTCCCCCAGCCCTTAATATTTTAAAAGTAAACAAAAAAAAAATGGAGAAAAAAAGAAAATTATATTAATATTGTAAGTGTGATAGTGCCATTTCCGGCCTTCTAGAGATGCCTGGTAATCATAAATTCTCTTACCTCAGTCCCAACCATGGTGGGGCCGAGGTAGTGTAGACCCTCCATCTGTCAAAGTCCATCCTCCTCGGGGTTCCGCTATTTCAAATTCCTGGATTCTCCACTGATGATTTCCTCACCTTTATATAAAAATGCTTGACTACCAGTGAATTTAATGACCAAGCAATAAATATAGGAACAATATTATTTATGCATATTTAATCGATAAGAAAACCGTTTATCGTTCTAATTTTTAATTGAAGGTAATAACTCACTTTAATATCAGTCAGTACAAAGCAGGAAATTCAATTATTGTTTTTTTTTTTTTTGTTTTTTTTGTTTTTGCTTTACTTTTTTTTTTTAGGTCAAAGAATAGCTTTATCTTCAAAGTGGTGGATCCTGGAATAGAGGGTGACTTCTGCAGATAGTGTCCAGACTGCTGTACCTTTAAACTTGTATGGCTATATGGCAATTCTAGATGGCTAGAGAAATAAATATGGATGTACTGTAATTTTCTTTGTTTCTTACAAAAATTTATGGGGTTTCGGGTGGTCTTCTGGATACCTTCTCCCCCTCCCTTCCCTGCCCTTGATTTTTCCCTTTGACCTTGCATTTTTTTTTTTTTAAATCAATCTACAGTAGCAGTAATCCACGAATTCCTGTTGGATTAGATGTTACATTAGCGGTGCCATGCCTAGGCACTACTTTCATTGAATAGGGCTACAATCTCACACATACCCACTCACTAAGCATGATCCAATATTTGTATATTTTAACATCGTGAACAAAGTATATAAAAAAAAAGAGATTGTTCCAAAAATTAAATATTTTCAATTTCATTAAAGCAAAAAAGTGTAAAAATTAATCATTTTCAGTAGGCCTAGTACAATTATATTACACCTGGTTGGTAAAACCATTGTTTTAATTCACCTAAAATATACTGATTTAGGTTAGACAATATTTACTTTTTTTAAATTAATAAAAAACTTCTACCTCTACCCACCCCTAATTTTTTATTTTTGGTCTCAAAATTTCTGGTGAGAGTGGTGATGCTAAACAAGTATTTTTTTTTTAACTTTTGGCTAATGTTGGTTTGTTCTTCACAGCAATTGGACATAATCTGACATCTGTTGTTGCCAGCCTTTTAGTACTTTCAGCGGTTGTCTACTACAAACCGAGGAAAAATAAAGAAGAATAGACAGCATTGTGACAGTATTTATTTATTTTTAAAAAATTTATTCACGGTATAAAAATATAACACCAAAACAGGCAGCCCGTAGGCTGAAATCGTTGGTTTACAAAAAAATATATATATATATGTTCTAAACATCAGAAAAAATTACACCAAAGGTTTGCACTGGACATTTATAAATATTCAAAACAACAATTCACAATAAATCAACATATTCTGCCAGATGTAGACAACAATAGAATAAATTGATTGACTTAAATGATTGATTTTCAACAAGTGGTGGGATTATTAAAACAGGTTTGCATAAAATTATGACAACTTTTGTGTGGGACTCTCAACTTAATTACAGGCTTCATCATATTAACAAAGTAATTAGGAATTATTTCAAGTGGATCAGAATACTGAATTAGGTATTGATATGGTAATTTAGTAAATACTGTACTTACATAATAGTTTATTTTTCCAGGTGATTTTTATATTAATAGAAATTGGTGACATCTCATTACAAGGCTTCGTTGGGTTGTGTGCAATTGCTAGAATTCTACAGGATTTCAGCCTAGGACCCTGGGATTGTATTGTAAGCATCTTAACCACAGAGCCATTTATGTTAACACTGTGAACAGATGGCTATTTATACCATAATATTTCTGATGAATATGTTTAGTTATTAAGGCGGGTAGCAAATTAATTCCTGATGATGACATAATTAATGTCGAAATATTGAATCCCAACACGATGGCGTGTATTTCAATACTTGGAGTATGTATTATACTTTCTTATTTGGTAGCAAATACAGTATGCACTATAGTAATTATAAATACATTAAGCATTGGAATTAATAACCCACCCACATATTCTGTGTTAGCAATTCACACACGATCAACAGTCAAAATAAAGTTCTTTTCTTCAATAATATTTAAAAAATCATGCATGGTAGTCATTTTTTGTGTTACGTAGGCTGTTCTTTTTAGGCCTATTATTGTGAACCAAAATGGGTTAATGTTATGGTACTGTAGTGGTTCATTATTATTGATTAACCTTGTGTTACTTTTACAGTATAGTCCAAAATAGATTACTGGGTTTCAGTTACATTATGTAAAAACCGTTTTTATCAGTAACTTTATAATATTGTCAGAGATTCAATTGCTTGATACTTACTGTAACATTCCAAATTTCAGAAACTAATTCATGTTTCTCTTTGAATGTTAAGTAGCTATTATGTAGCTATGACAACCAAAATTAATTACTTTGATAATTATATTAATAGATCTCAAAGATATTTAGTGTATAAAAAATGCACACTCTGAATATTTCAAGAATATTTTAATGATTTATATTTTTGTTATTTTAGTAATTTTAAAATAAATTTAATTTTATATGTGGCAGGCAGTTGAATAAGTTAGTATATTATCACTATTAGATTGATACCATGTACATACTTGCCTGTTTTTTATTGTGTCAGTATTGAGCATATAATGGTGAAGTCACATGGTGCAGCAGCGATAAATGTTTGTGAGGTCGCATACAATGCTTTTGAATGCTAACTGAAGTATAATAATTTCTTCTAGTATATGAACATCCACACTAATTGCTTTAAGCCAGTAACTGTCTTCCCTTTTTGTAATGTAAATTAACTACTGTTGTAGCAGTCATTGTGTTTGATAACAGCTCAGTGGTTTACTGAACCTGTTTATGTAAACATTAAAACAAACTTCACAAGTTACTAAATAAAGCAAAATGCATTTTTAAGGGTATTTTTTTAAATCAACCAATTAATCCTCAAAATACAAATTTCTATATAATATTTTTTGTACATTATTTACATTAATTTCCTGCTGGTATGACATTACAAAATGTATTGTACTTTTCATGTATTTGTCAACCTCAAAATATATGACTTCTACATCAATATTTACATGCACATTATATCCGTGTTCACGTATCCCAGTGAATCTAACTTAGAGATTGCTGCATGAAGACATTGATTGGTGTGAACTGCCTTGCACCTGCTAGTGTGCCTAATGTATTCCTAAGAAAGCACTGTCGTACATTCAAAGTCTGAAATCAAACACCATAACCCGATCCTCAATGAAGAAATTTTAAAAAAATCCAAGCTTTAGATTTTGACTCTAGTAAATGGAAATCTTGTTTATTGAAACCAGAATTAAAAGGTGCATTTTTAAACACAGTTCTTTCATATATTTTTTGCATAGATCCTTAACTGATAATCTAATTTTACGGATGCATTGCTAAAGAAATAGTAAATACTAAATGGGAGAATGGGTTTCCTACATCTTTATTTAGTAAAATACATTATTTTTCTATGTTGTCATCATCGTAAAATAGCCATGTGAAATAGTGGCATTGAAAATTGAAGCCTGTCACTTCAAGCTTTGATTCTGTGTCTGTGTCCTTTGGTTCTTTTTGTTCACCATCTTTCTTTTCATCAGGAACTTGCACCTTACTGCTGAATACCAGGGCTTTAGAATGCTCTTCTATATCCCTCATCACATCTTTATTGAAGCCTAAACTGTCAAGATCATCTTCTATCTGAATTTTAAGTTCAGAAACAAAATATCATTCCCACATAAACATGAGTACAATTAAAGACCACTTTTGGGACCGTGGATTTCATGGTCTTTAGCAGCTTTGTGGTCTAATTAGAATAATAAAGATAAAAGACATTAGTTAATATGGGACCAAAGAAAAGTGGTCTTTAATTGGAGGTGCTCTTTAATTATAGGGAAACCTGTAGTTTAAAGCCCGGGCCCGGGATTTATCAATTTAACTTAGCAAATGTCTTAAGTCAAAAAAGTTAAGATGTCCCTAATAAGTATCTTAAGCTGATTTATTACCTAATCTTAGCAAAATCTTGGCTTAAAAATCATCTTAGATGGTGCCAACGTACAATCGACTTTCTAATTTTAAGCAATTTTTAAGCTAAGCAACATGGATAAATTTGCAAAAAAATGGACTTAAGACAAATTTAAGCTGAATTCTAGTTTGATAAATGTGGCCCCTAGTGCCTACATTTTGCCAAATTTATTTAAATGTTAAGATTATAAATAAAATACAAAATATCTTCTTTCAGAATTTTTTATTCTTAAACAACAAAAAAATGAAAATAAGGCCCAAATTCAATTTTCTATAGAGGGATGGCAAAAATAAACAGATAAATTTTCAACTTTTGGTTTTGGAATACAGGAGAGTAGGTAGGAGAGAATATGACAGTGGCAAACAAAACAACAAATAAAGGTGAAAGTCTTGCGTACTTGGAAGTTTATAATATTTCACAGGCCAATTGTATAAAAAATAGGTTACGGACTGACCCTGGTTTCTGAATTTCACTCTACATTGCAAACAACTATTATTTCTGGCCTTCAAAATGGTGCTCAGTATGTGATTCATGAACGTTTGGTCCAATGAGAGAGGTAATTACATTCTCATTAGCCTGACCACTTGTTCATGTTGTTGACTGAAACCACCTGATCCACATTCTCTCTCTCACCCCCAGAGATGGTACGGGACCGGAGGGCGTACATAATCAGGGGATTCGTAAAATTTAGGTTGGGTTAAATTTGTGGTGACCTTTGACCTAATACGTACGTTTACATGGTTTTAGATTATAACAACCTGGTATTCGACTCAACGTTGCTGTTTAATGAAAATATGTTGCATATGGTTTGTTTATTGTTATAGTATTGAAATAATAAGCAGACAGAAAGTAACAAATCTCTTTTTACCTATGGTTGCTCTGAAAAGGACCGTTTGTTTATAATATATTCGACGTCATCATTGATATGAGACGCAAGTAAAACCAAGGGTTCGTACAGCTGGGGTACGTAAAAATGAGGTGTTACTGTACTCTATGTCTTTATGTAATTGGCTTCAATGTAAACAAAAAATGAACTCTATATGGTAAACATACCTCTGTCAGCATTTTAGATGTTTTTTTCTTTGCAAATGAAGATAAGCCACCTTGAAAAGTCTCTAAACATATTCTACAATGAAAACAATTCCAAAGTATCATTAATTCATTCACAATATATCTTATGAGAAAGCACATGTCTAAGAAATTGAACATACTAAAATATTAAATTTAAAGCTGAAAGAATAATAATCTATATTATAAATATGCTTATTTCAAAGCCTACAATAACAGTAGTATAAACCCAGTCGTCAGATAACCTCTTGGATTCTAAACCTACCGGTTTGAAAAACTGTAACAACATAGATTATCAAAGTCTCCATCTCCAACGCAGTGAATACAATTCCATATTTCAGTTGAACTGAGGGAAAATAATGAATTTTACAGATGTTTTACACTGCCAGGTGTCATTTACTGGAGCAAATTGGTGTACCGCCAGATTCCGTTTGTGGTTTTATATGGAACGCCAAAAGAGCAAGCAGGAATGTTATAGAGAGAATACAACATATTTCCTTATATCAATTACCACTACTGCTGTTTCATCTCATTTTAGTGTTTTCTAAATATTCTTAAGTTACGAAAAATGATATGAAATTCCTTTCAAAACCTATCTTCTTTTTTTAGTGGTCAAATAGTTCTTTTAAATTGAAACTATTTGGGATGTTTACACACTAGAGGGTAAGCGAGCCAAGTGAGCGCACCCTCTAGTACTGTACCATTATAATCAATAAGGTCTTGATATAAATCATAAAAATTGTGATAATATACAGTTTAATAAAAAGTTAATAATGGATGATTAAGTCACATACATACCTAGATGTCAATAAGCAAGCACAAATTACTTTCAACTGAGTTTCTTCTTTTTTTGATCTTAAATCTTTTCCTTCAATATGTGGAACTGATTTATTATTTTCATTTTCTAATTCATCTTCTCTTTCAATTCTTCCCTCTGGTGGATCCTGATTCAGTTTCTTTGTGTATGCATCACCCAGTGATTTCCATAGATGAGCATTGAGTGTGTGTATACCTATCCACTCCTCCAATGTTCTTATCTCACCTAATTATAATCAACACAAAAAATAAAAAACTTAAATAAAAAAATAAAAACAAGACTGTCAAGTCAAGAAATTTTTTTCATGTTTAAGAATACAACATATTTCCATACATTTTATTACCAATTTTGTATTATATTTATAATATTTATATTATATTTATTTAATATTTATTAATATTATATATTTATATTTATTTATAAAAGCGCACAAGTGGAGCTTTGTGATCATCTGCCTTCCAATCTCATGAATAATCTAAGAAAGCTTATACAGTCTTATTGCATATTGACTGGCAAAATAAATATTTTCATTCTAATTTCCCATTGAAAGCTTACAGTATATCAACTCATCATAAATTGCAAAATCCGACATAAATTCACTAAACCTTTATCAGATTAAACATTTTCCACACCTTCTAAATCCTTCAAAAAAAAAAAATTGGTCAATAAGGTTATAAATTCTCAAATTACCTGCCATATCCGCTTTTGCTCTGAAGACTGTGAGAAGCGAGAATAATGCTGAGCTGCGTTGATCATAATTGTTACTATCCGACACCTGCAAAATATTTCAATGTGCAAGAAAAACATGCTTTTTTCCAGGGAAGGGGGTCTCTTCTGATCAAATTGGTAACAGGCCCCTCTCCATTTAAGAATAATTTTTTTAGTAGGACCACAAGACTACAATAAAGCCCAATCAAAACATTTATCATCCTATCTTGGCTGGAAAAAGTGATGAGGAAGCAAGGGCTTAGCCAGTGAGCCGTCCGGCCGTCTTTTGGACGGCCAACAATTATTTAGGACAGCCACTTTTACTGTGACGGGCTTGGCCTACTCAGTTTGGCGTAGCCTAGTTGGGCCTGTTCTATCTTTAGCGAATTAAATTGCATTAACAAAAGCATATTTACGTTTGATACCTTTATTGATCGAATTTACATTGTTTTAATACCGACATTCAGTGGGGATTCCCTAAAAAGGTAAGGCTAAACCATTGTCTACCCGGTGAAAATTTCACTTACAACACATGTACAGTATGTCGTGTTAGAAACATATTTATACCCTGCTGGAATATGGACGATTCTAGGTTACCCACAACGCATGCACATGGCTCTGCAAATACAGTACTCGAGATTCGGTTTCACCGAGATATTGTTCTTGTTCGCAACTCCTGTGAGGGAGGCTTTTTATTTTGCTAAAGCCAAATATATCGTTAGCGCAAGTATTCACGCGAAATATTCGTATTCGTAATTCAAGCATTTTATTTCCTGTTTAGGCTTATTTTGATTGGTCAAATCCTGGACAAGTTCAAAATCACTGATGCATGACTGTTGTAACTCAGTAGCGTATGCTAATCTGGGGTCTATTGCTCACTTACTGTACACCAGTGATTGTGCGATAATACTAGCGTTCACTACGCCGCGCACAAGTTCACACCACTTTAATAATGTTACACTAGCGTACAGTAAGTCGTTGTGTTTGAACATAGCCAAACTAAGATATACAACAACAAAAAAATTACTTTAAATGAAAAAATAAATAAATAAAAAATTCCCAAAATGGTCTTGTCCAATACTATAGAAAACATGTGGATGGGAATGATAAACTAATATTTTTTATTGGGCCTACTAAAAGTCTTACCATTTTTTCTGCCAGATTCTGAGCGTGCTCATACTCGCGGAGACAGCAACTGCACCGTATGATTCCATCAATAAACCTTCTCTTCAAGGAACTGTTATTAGGCAATAATGCAAGTCCCTTTTGAAAATGGTCTCTTGCTTCATTGTATTCTTTTTTAAAAAAACATTGGTTCGCGGATAATATCACCAATTTAGCATGTTCTGTTTTGTCTTCTGGAATAGTATTGGTTTTATCCAAATACCACTATAGAAAAAGAAAAATCCATCATTTATGAAAAAAAAATCTTTCCAAAAAGAACAAAGGCTGGAATTATACACTTTTTTTTTTATAAGAACATGTTTTATAAGAAAAACACTGAGGCTGAAAATGCTTAAAAATTAAGAACAAAATAAGAACAATTTGAGGCTGAGGTAAAATGTCAAATGAGATTTTTATTTTTAAAACCTAGAAAAACCAAAAAAATAAATATATGTACCTTATGTGCAGTAGGTGTGACTACTGTATGTAATACCCTCTATAATACAGTACAGTAGGTGCAGGTCTACCTTCCTGTTATTTGTGGCCATTTTTTGCAGGAGCCATTTTTTGCAGGGGCCCTTTTTCAGGGGTCATTTTTTCCGGGGCCAATTTACCTACATTCCAGTACGTGTGTATACTGCTGTATAATAATAATTTTCTATGTTTGAAAAGCGTGTAACTTAAGAACAAAATAAGAACATTTTGAGCCTGAAATAGGCCAAAAAATAAGAACACTGAGCCTGGGCAAAATTTTACTGGTTCTTATAAAAAAAAAAAGTGTACTGTACCAGATAAAATATTTTATTATTTTTAGGAAACTACGTTTTTGAAAGTACTATTGTCAAAGTTAAGCCACATACAGGATCTCTACCTACGACATACACTTTCTACAGTAGTAGTACTTGTAGTACTTACTGTACCTGCTAAGAAGGTGTATTTAAAAACTTTACAGTACAGGATATCAATATCAAATTTTTATGTTATTTTCGCTTTGCGAGTTAGAAAAGTTAAATTATTGGGTCTTAAATCGTGTATTGACATTTTATACGATGAAAAAAAGGAAAGCATTAATTTCCAAGAAATTAATACTGACCTTTATTTCACGTCACGATATACAGTTAGGCCTAGATAGAACATATATATATGTATCACACAATTATATACGTAATATAGCCTAGCTATAGGCACCTACTAGGTTGGCCTAGGCTAAAACTAATAAATCAATTTTGTGTTATATTTTAGGCCCAAATGCTATGTCCCATCCTAAGCCTATGCACCCAGCTATAGGTCTAGAGGGGGTTGGCCGAGGGCCTACCGCCCTAGGCTAGGCCTACCTACCTAGTAGGGCCTATGTCCTAAGCTAGTCTAAGCAAGTCTAGGCCTAGGCTAGTCAGACAACCCAACCTCAAAAGCACACAACTTTGGCGTGTAAACCAGGCTTAAGCTTGCTTTCTGATCTTCTCTGCATCTCGTCTCAGATACGTCCTCGTTTTCAATTTCAAAAAAAGGCAATGAATCCATTAAAAACAAAAGTATTACCGCCACTGTATTTTCTAATACAGTGCGTCGTCGCCGTGCGTCGTCTCATCGCACATGACCCCAGCCAAAGGAAGAAGATTACGGCTGTTTTTCTATCCACTGTGGACGACTGAGAATATAATAGTGCCGTAATATTGGGCGTATTCGACTGGTTCATTTCGTTGAGTACGAGTTTTCGTTGAGTATTATTTTCATTGACTAATTCTTTCCTCCATGGTGTACGCCTAACCAGAATGCGTAAATCAGTTACGTTTTGCACGTGACCAAAAAAAGGATGGCCGATTGGTCAGTTTAGCAAAAACATTTGGGTTAATATAATCATGGAGGAAAGAAAATATATTTATTTTATTTAACATATCACTTGCGCAATATAAGAAGGATTAGGAAGTACCTATCTAGGAAAGCAACAGCACAACTGATTCATGCATTCGTTACTTCATATCTTGACTTTGGGAATTCTCTCTTTTTCAAGGTATTTTTAAGAGATCCATGCATCGCCTCCAACTGTTGCAGAATACATCTGCTAGGATCATTACAGGAACAAAGAAATTTGAGCACATCACACCGATTTTACAAGAACTTCATTGGCTACCTGTTTCCTTCAGGAGAGAATCATCTTTCAAGATTTTGCTCATTACACTTTTAAGACTGAGAGAGATGAAGGTCCTGGGTATCTTCGTGAACTGCTTGTATGGTACGTGCCATCGCGAACTCTCCGCTCTGGTACTGACAAACTTCTGCTTGTTGAGCCTAGGTCTACACGTTTGTGGGGTGATCGATCATTTTCTGTTGCGGCTCCACGCCTTTGGAGTAAACTGCTAATAAATATTCGCTCGTGTCATCTACTGCTTGTTCAAAAAAGCTCTCAAGACGCTGCTGTCGGCTGCTTTTTCCTAGTTCTCCGGTTTGTTTTGCTTGCTTGCTTAATCGTTTTAGTTAGATACTCCCATTACTTGAGCACCTGTGAGTAATGAATAGGCGGGCCCCTGCGCCTTAAATTGCCTGTAAACGGTGCGGTGATGGTGTGGTGTTTCTTGTAGCTTTAGGTTCATGGTAATTTTTTGTTCCTTCCTGTAGCGCCTTGAGCACTACTGCAGTGGATTTGTGCGCTTTATAAATCTTATTATTATTAAATTTCATAAAATAAAAATTATAATATTTACTGGATAAAAACATTTCTTTTAGTTTTACAAAAAATCTATACTGCCACAACAAGCCAAAGCAATCTTGATCAATTTTCTATTGACTATGTCTTGATTATGCAGCGTGTATCCATATCGCGGTAAATATGGAGCCATTTTGTTTTGTTGAGTACTTACCAGTTTTCTATTCGACTGGTCGTCTTCGTTAAGTAGGATTTTACCACTGCGCAGGTACGTGGGCGTGGTTTAACGAAGAACGACCAGTCGAATACGGCCATTGTTTTATAGCTTGATTGTCCAGCTTGCAAAACTGCGCTAGACCTTAGAGTCATAGGCCAGATTCGACTGGTCGTATATTTTAGCCCATATTTTAGTTAATTGACCCATGGAGGAAAGAAACTTATTTTATTACTCCATGTGTAATAAATTGCCATTCCCTTTCTTACTTTAACATATTTAATACACAGAACATTATAGAATAACATTTAATTGATCAAAGAAACAGTGTAAACCACATTGGTAATTTTAGGATCACATGACACCATGTAGAATCCAAGAGTAATATATGGAAGCTTCTGGAATCTTGGGTACTATAGAGGCAAATACTGTAAGTCTAATCGGTTAATTATGATGTAAGGTAACCAATGAGGAACTTAGGCAATATAGAATGATCTTGAATGCTCTGGAATAGTGCAACTAGGGTATATAAGCAGACAGTTTTATTATTCTGGAGCTCTTTTTGAAACACATGTTTATGCGAATGTTGTGTTATATTGATACCGGATTCTTGTTGGAGTTTATACAGAATAAAAGTTTGAGAGTTGTTTTACAACATTGTGAGCTGTGTTTATATTTTATATGTCAAAGAAGGATTCCTAGTCATTTCTATACCGCTCGGAAATACGTCAAGTAGGAATTCATGACACATGGTTGACCTAAAAATAAATTATTAAAGATCAATTAATGTAATTTTTTTAGAATTGACTTTATGCCAAAGGGTTCACATTAAAGAATTAAGCAAAGACTTAAAATAATGGGAAACTGAGAAAATGGATATTAAAATAGCCTTTGTATTGTCTCCTGTTACAAATAGGCCTTTTTCCTTGTGGACAACACCTCTGGCTAAGGGTGAACTGGTTGCTGTGGATGTGGGATCCAGAGGGTTACATAGGCCCATACTCAATGCCATAGCCAGGATTTTCAAACAGTGCAGGACAATATCAGGGTGGACTCACTTTCGCGTAAATTTAAATAATGTGGACCCATTTTCTTAAAAGTTGACCCATTTTACGCAAAAATATGAAAAATCTGGACCCATTTTCTAACCTATTTTAGGCTAAATATGAGAAATCTGGACTCATTTTTAATAAAATTGCATAATTTGGACCCATTTAAAAAAATGTGGACCCATTCTTTGTGGAGCCATTAGAAAAGTTGTGTGGGATGTCTGTCCCAATAGGGGTGTACGGCAACCACTAGGGTTTACCTGGTATAATGTACAGTATAAGAAATAGGGGTTGGGGAAGCGAGAGGGAAACAACAGTGGTCCCAAGCCATTTCCAGGAGATCTACAGTGGCTGATCCTGGAATTTGATATATAGAGGAGGAGGGAAGGAAATCAGTGTTAGGGTTTACCCGGTACTGTATAAGAAATGGGGGTGGGTGAAGAGGGAGGGGAACAACAGGGGTTCCAAGTTGGAAGAAGTCATTTCAGGGAAATCTACAGTGGCGATCCTGGAATTCGATATAGATATTCGATATTTGCTTGAGAGAGTGCGGAAGGTCGTCACAATTTCCAGAAGACTTCCGCAAGTTCTTGAAGACTTGGGACCCCTGAAACAATAGGGAGTTTTTGATTTGTACAACGCGACGCTAGAACGGAGTCACTAATGCGTGACCGTCCTACGTTCTTTGTATATTATGTAGAATTGGACAAATTGCATTCCAGAATCTACTCGACGAGGTGACCTTAATGTTCTCGCACGCGCAGATAACTGTTAGTGACGTCATTACATTATTATGCCTAACAGCAGCAATCCATTTGCATTGCTTTAGCTACACTATGTCACATGAATCCAGCTGCCAAATGGTTTCTTCTCCATACTGACCATTAACTAAAGATGATATTAAAAAATATTTAACAAAGCACCCACTAGTACAGATAATGAAGAAATCCAATGCAAAACTTTATTTAACGTCAACTACACAATATTAAACCTAAAAATCAATATACTTTAAAAAGTTATAGAATGTGATTAATACAGAAAAATTAAACATTATTTGGTTGTAAACTTTCTAAAGAACTAGACACATTTTTTAATATGGTATGATTACTTATTCATACCCATGTTTCCCCACACATGTACTGGCATTTTATCCACTTTCTGTACCTGTTTTACTATATATTTTAAAGTTCTATGCTCACATAAACACCGATGCACAGATGGTATATTATACCATAATTTACTGGTGTTTTACCCAAATTTACAAGTTAACAAGCAATACCCAAAATGTACAGTTGTTTTAGCTGCCACCATGTGTAGGTGTTTTACCAACCAAATAAGTATGTATTATACCCAGTCACATATACAGAGTTGTTTTACCAACCCAAATACAAACCTCAAAATACAGGTGTATGGTTTATGGTTACATTCAATAGTATATAATTTTTTTTCTAATAGTTCTGCATTTTCTATTTATGAAGAAACACCTGAAGAACTACAGAAGCAGTTTCAAAGAGGGTATGATTGCATATTCATACCCATCAATATTTTAAAGATATTTGTAAAATGACATAGAATGACATATTTTTAATGTGTATCCAGAAGCTTTCCTCATGCGCATGTGTGTTAAACACACTTACACTTTTACAGGTATTCACCACATAATACAGTTGTCTTTGTTCAATTCAACTTTATATGTATTTTACCCACATGCACAGGTGTTTTGCCACACATTATGCTTAGGTATCAGACAGCAAATTCAGACGAATGTCACGTTTACACTTCTTTTCTCCTAGTTGTATTTACAAAAAGAACATTTTCACATCAAGACAAATATTAAAACAAAATAGAACATAAATCTATTTCCATCCAGATTGACAATTTCTTCTTTTTTTTTTTTATCCAAAAGCTGAAAGTGTATCTATTTGAAGCTGTGCAGGGTTTTATATGCATCATACTAATGTCTCTTAATAACATTTCTTAATAACAACTTGTTTAAAAAAATCCATGAACATCTTACTCCTCATGGAGGTTCTCCACTGCTTCACCATTGTTTTTGACACACTCCAGAGGGTTTGTAGCCTCCTGTGATCCAAGACTTGCGCCATTGCTTTCAGATTGTATATTAGGTTTCTGAAACCCAGTTGTGTCATCATTTTTGGCTGTCCCTTCATCTGGCAAAAGCTCACTATCATCCTCGACAGCATCAAGAAATTCTTCGTCTGTGTCTTGCAATTTTGTATCATTCTGTTCAATGTTCTCATCCGATAAGGCACCCTCAATACCTTCACCATTGTTGCAACCAGTATCTGGCTTCTCATCCTGACTGTCTGAAGTGAGACACTCTTCAATGGCTTCCTAATATAATAATAAGATGTCTTAAGTTTTTATATAAACACAACCTTTCACCTCTTACCGACACCAATTTACATTACATACAAATATAAACAAATATTAAATTTGCTACTTGGGAAACACAGACAATAGTGTTAACTAAGTGGTTATAACACAAGACATGGATTTGTGGGTTCCATTTCCACTCAAATCACTTTGCGACATACTAAGTATATCATTGCAAAATCATCTTTGCTATAATAATACTGTAGTAACTATTACAATAATTATTAAAAACAAAAATACATTATCATTATTATTATTATTATCATTAATAACAATAGTTTTTTTAAATTGCATCTGTCACAATGCACTTTACAATATTTTAGTTCTATAGAATTTAAAGTGAATACATACTTGTGGTTCATCATATTCACTTTCTTGCAGTGGAATGGCAGTGATGTTAATTTTGTCCTCTCCATTACCTCCCTGCCCTACTGGTTCAGGAGTCTTGATGACTTCCCATTCTTCTGTAATAGATCCAGTTTTTCTTGAGGTTGCCTGTATATCTTTTGGCACAGGGCAATCAGTACTGGTGACATCACTTCTACGAACATCATAGCCAGTACTGACACCACCATTGACATCATTGACACCACTACTAGCAACATCACTGACAACATCAGCAGTACTGGAAACTTCGCTGACAATATCACCAGCACTGGCAACATCACTAGAAGCAGCACTATTACTGGCAACCTCACTGACAACATCACCAGCACTAGCAACATCGCCATTACTGGAAATATCATCTACAACACCAGTACTGGCAACATCACAAGTATTCACAACCTCATCGGTATTGGCAACTTCACTTACAGCATCAATAATACTGGCATCATCAAAAATTCTGGTACTCTCAACTGCTTGATTTACACTGGCTTCAACAATGTCATCCAATATTTTTTCCACTGTTGCTGGAGCAATAATTTGTTTTCCAGTTGATGGCTCAGTGGTTAACTGTTCAGTGGTAGCCTTATCATTGTCTACAGCAGAGTTATTGAATAGTGCTTTTGCAAGGTTTGTTTCTGATATTACTTCAGATTTATTTTGTTGTGAATAAAACTCTTTAATTTCAGTGCTATCTCTCTGAATGTCTTGATCATCACTTGAATTGCTGGGATCAAGACACTCATCTTTAAGGTATTCTAGGGCTCCCTTAATAACATCTTCCACAACTACTTTAGCAATAATAGCAATCTCATTAAGCCTTTCTTCATGATCAGATAAAGGTCTTTGCACAGCTGCTACATCCTCTTCTTCTGATGGAACATTTGACAGTTTACATATTCCAGCTTCAATTAGAATATCTTTTAAAGGGGTTCCCTCTTTAGTATAAAGCTCCACAGACTGACCAGAAAATGTTGCATTGTATAACTGCTCTATTACAGTTTCCTCGAAGGCAACACTTGCAGAATCTTCCCATGACTCACCTAAAGGTGCTACGGAAGACAGCCTACATTCTAATGCTTGTGCTGGAAGTGAACATAGTTCAGCAGGTATCTGCTTGAGGTCGGACAGTTGCAATGCATCTGTGTTACCATAATCAATAAATGTAACGTATATTAATGTGTCTTCTGTTCCATCAATCACAGCTCTATACCAAACCTCATCTAGTGAATATTTAGCTAGGCAGACATCTCCGACTCTCACCTGCTCTATTGGTGAAGCTGATGGAACAATATTCATCACCTTAGCAGAAATCTGCTCAAGCTCCTCTGCATTAGATGTTGGCTGGATAAAGAACTTGTGAGGTGTTTCAACATGTGATATCTGAAGTTCAATTTCTGGTTCAATGGGTATAGGCATCTGAATATATTGAGGCAATTTTGTGTCTGCAGTACATTTTGTGTTCACAACAGGATCATCTGCTGTTGCCACAGCTACAGCTGAATCCAGTAAGCTTTGATTAAGTGATACCCCATTATCATCAACCAATTTCAAAGAACAGGAATGAGTATCATCAATGACCTTCGTAACTGAGGCTGTTAGGACACCTTCGAAAGCAAGATTTGCAAATGCTTCACAGGCTTCTGCACTCCAGATATTATCTTTAGGACTGACTCCAGCTAAACTGCTCCTGAATGCAAACACTGGCTGGCTAAGCAATGATTCTTGAATGGTTTTCACCTTTGATTTTTGCAAAATGGCTGTGTTTCCATAATCCACATATCGAATAGTTGTTTGATCCTCACTGCAGTTGGTGATAATAGCACGATACCAAACTCCTTCCTCCTCGACGGGTGCTACACATGGCATACCAACTCTTTGCTGTGCCATTATTTCAGAGTCCTCACCTTTAAAAAATCAATAAAAATATTTTAGTTAATTCCAAATAAATTGAGTACTATTCAAGGTGTGAAATTGTACAATCCATTTTTTCCCATATTCTTTACCAGTATGTTTATCTAACCTGCTTTAACACTATAAACAAAATTATTATTGGCTCATGTTTTTCTTTATTTAAAAAGTAATTTGACTTTCATTTGCAAAGTTCTTTCTTAAATTATAGTTCGACTGGACTCACAGAATGATTGTTTAAATGATAATAATAATAGTAATAATAATGTTACACTTGTATAGTGCTTCACATAAAACAAAAAAGTGTTTAAAAAAAAAATGAAGAAAAACATAAAATTTGCTCAACAAAAATGCAAAATCTTCAAGGGGCCACCATCCGACTCCAGTATAGCGTACCCAGACCCCTACCTAGGTGATACACCTGGGTGGATTTATAGGCGGCAATGGTCGCCACCCCACCCACCACCATTAACATGTTAAAGTGCTTTTAAATGTTAGCTGGCAAAAAAATGTACAGATGTTAAGTAAATAGTAAGCAGCTTTTTCTTTAAGGGGGAGGGGGTCATTTATGAGAACAATTTCAAGGCTAATATTATTGTTGGCTTTAAGTTTCTCGAAAGATGGGAGGGTGACAAGACAGAAGACGGTTCCCCAATTCATTTAAACTTACGTGATTTATACAAGAGTTCCCCCCTTTCTGCACCCCCTCCAGAAAATATCTGGACCCACAAACAAACAGGGTGTAAGAATGGGCGGTTACGTCCCTTTTCCCCGAGTTTTTAAATATTCAAAAATCTCATTCACCGTTCCCCAGATTTTCGTCAAATAATTTTTTTCTGTGTTAGAAATATCAGTTCTACAGTAAAACATTTCAATTTTTTTTCCCTTCGAAGCTTTCATTAAAACTTATTTCTTTCAGCCTGCAAATAATCTGGACCCAATACCTCAATGGCCCTACCCCCCGCCCCTTTTTTTTAAATGAAAAAAAAGAAAGAAAAAGAAAAAATTGATCACCCTAAACGACTCAGAGCATATTTTCGGGCGTCTAAAAAAGGGAGATGTTATCTGGATCAGTCCCACTTTCAGCCTCCTTTCGCCCAACACCCCTCCCCCCTTTTTCGGAAATCTGTGGATCCGGCTCTATAGAGTGCTTTTAGCTGGCAAAAAAGTGTAAATAGTCAGCAGCTTTTTTCTTCTTTAGGGATGGGTGAAGGTCATTCATAAGAATAATGTTCCGGCTAAAATTATTGTTGTTTTTTAAATCGCTCAAACGATGGGAGGGTGACAAGACAAAAGGCGGTTCCCCAAGTTTTTCAAAGTCAGAGTCCAGAGTGAAAAAAAATTTTTGTTTAAAAAAAAAAAATGTTTGACGAAAAACTGGATAACGGTGAATGAGATACAGATTTTTTTAATATTTAAAAACTGAGGAAAAAGGTGTAACCAGACCTCTGCGAGGGCCAATGTTCCTATGCGGGCATTCGTGAAATATTGCACTACTGTATTTGCGATGATGCAAACATGGCAACAAACGAAACCAGGGAGACCTCAAGTGCTAATCCATTATTATATTATATATTATTATTATTATTATTATTACTTATATTATTATTATTTTATTATTAATCCTGGAATAAGGTTTTTTTTTGTTCTGCTTGTTTAGTGCCAATGATAAATCGGACCCCAGAAAATAGTAGGATATATTTTCTGGGGTCCGAGCTGTCCGACAGGGGGACAAGAGCTCGTAGGAAGGAGCTTGTGGAAGATTTTGTGAGGGTGTTCCCCTTCCAAATTAGATTTTTTAACAATAGGAGCCTCTGGATGGTCAGAAATGACACTCAGACTGTGACAGACATGTGTTGGCTTGGCAAAATTAAGTGCACAATTATTTTCATTGTGTAATAGATGATAAATACAAATACAACATTCAAAAACAATTTACATTCATAGTCTTACCTAATGTTGCATAATGCGCCTGTATGTCATCACTCAATGCATTTAAATCAGCATCCCTGCTTTCAACTTGACACCAAAATTCTCCTGGTGATTCAGACCAACACACAACCACACGTTTTTCATCACCTTCCTTGAAGCATAATGACTTGTAAGTTTGTGATGGGGCAGCTTCAACTTGATTTGGTGCTACGTCTGCTTAAAGACATTTTTAAAATATAATTTTAATACACATTAGAAAACCGTAGTTCAAAAAAAATAAATAAAAGTTTACGAGGCCACAAGATTTTTATTTATTTTTTATAATTAGGTTTAAAAATTTGAATTGATATATTGCAATAAGGTAATTATTATTTTTATTTTATGAATCCAATTTTTTAAAACTAAAAAATCAACAACTGAAAATTTAGAATTCATATATTTCAATTATTTATTATGTTGTAAAATGATTATTATATGCACAAAATGTTGAATAGGAATCAACTTTTATAAACAAGTAAGGTATTTATTGTGTTTACATATATAAAACCAATTTTTTAAAACCAAACAATTAACAACTGAAAATTTATAATTCATATATTTCAATTAATTATTATGTTATAAAATGATTATTACAGTATATGCATAAAATTATGAATAGAACTCACATAAACACATAAATATCATATTTATCTACCCGACTGGGTGTGGGAAGAAATTTGTGTAGGTTGTATTAGCTTAATAATTCAGCGAAATATTTGTTATTCTTGGAATTTATCTGGAGTACAATGCACATAATACTGAACTATAATTTCTGATTATAAATAAACACATCATCATTGATTTAAATTTTAACTTACTTTTCACCAAATTGTCTGCAACAAGTTGACCATCTTCTCTCAACTTTACTTCCCAGACATCATCAGTTGATACCAAAAATTCTGCAGTTAATAGCTTATCTGAAATTGCCTCCTGAAACTTAAATATCAGTTCCTCTTTCATTGAATTCATGTTCTCTGGAAGGGATAGCTTGCATTTTACAGCCTGTGCTGGTAATACTGTAGCTTCAATACAAGTTCTCTTGATATCTGTCCAAGGAACATGTTCAGAGTTGCCATAGTCTACAAAAAATACAAGACCAGTTTCACTTGCTACTTCTGTTACCTCTCCTCTGTACCAGCCTCCATCCTCTGCATACTTTGCTATACACGGACCCTGAACATGAGGAGCATTCTCGATATTATCACTTGAATAGATTTCAAAAATAGTGTCCATGACAGTTGATAGTTCATTGGCAGTTTTGTTGAGCTGAACGTTAAAATCATCGATAGAGTTAACCGAAGATACATATACTTCAAGTAACTCATTAGCTTGAACTAATGTCAAAGATGACTTATAAAACAATAGTGGCTCAACTTCTTCTTCATCAGGAACCTCTCCAAGTTCTGCATCTAGAAGCTTCTGGAGAACACTGACACCCATATCAAGAAGATTGACTCTGATGACCATGTCAGATTCAACTAATTTCTTTCCAACCACCTCAGCTAGTAGCTTCTTATCTGTTGTTTCTTCTTCAAATTTCTCAACTGCCCCTTCTTTCCAGTTCTGACCACCCTTCAACTGACAACATACTGCTTGTGGTGGTAAGGACATAAACTCTTGTGTAATGGTTTTAATGTCTGTAGCAGACACCACAGCACTATTACCATAATCTACATACATTACATGTACTCCTTCATCACTTGAACCAGCAATCAGGCCTCTGTACCAGCCATCATCATCAGCAAATTTGGCAACACATGGAGTATTGACAGTGAATTCTTGAACTGCTCTTTCTTTTTGTCCCAAACAGCTATAAACTTCATGAATAGAATTCATTATCTCTGATAGGTCATCAGCACTACTGGCAGGCTGACACCAAAACTGGTCAAGAGAAACTGTGTGGCAAACATATACCTCAATCTTATCCTTCAGAAGATTATGATTGCTTTTGAACTTGAGAGGTACTTCTGGAGGAAAGTCTACAACTTTGGATCTAAATAGGTCTCCAACATCTCCTCCATCAAGTGTCAGTTTCACTGTATATGGTACTGAGTCTGACAAAAATTCAGCTTTTAAAAGTTTATCTGTAACCATTTCACTGAATTTCTGATTGGTATCATGATTCCATTTGTTAGCATTATCAACATTAATGATACACTTGAGAGCAAGTGGTGGCACATCAGCAACTGCATGAATCAAATCTTTCAAAGTTGACTTCTCCTGAACTTCTGTATTTCCAAAGTCAGTGTACCTTACCAGGACCTTTCCATTCTCACCATGTCCCTCAATAGTGGCTCGGTACCACATTTCGTCATCTTTGAAGAGTGCACAACAATTTTTTTTTACGTTAAAGCAAGACAGATTTTCACTTTTGGTACTAGTGTAGTATGACTGAAGTCGGTTCTGTATTTCTTCCAGCAAAGATGCTTGGCTACCAAACTGTGCATATATTACTCCTCCATTATCAGTGCAGGTGATGTAAATGTCTTCTTTGTCACCAACTTTGATATTCAAAGGTGTGAATTTCATTGGTTTGTTAGCAGCTTTGAGGTTTAACTGATCAGCTATCATAGTATCTTTTCCACCTGATGTATCTGTAAGCACAATTTCTAAAATCTTGTCTTTCTTTCCTGAAATATAAGCGACAAGCTGTTTCTCTGCAACCAAACCTTCAAAGTCATCAGTTAGAATAGAAGCTTCTGTTTGCAGGCCTTTAATTCTGCATTCAATGGCTTGTGCAGGTAGGGTGGTGAAGCTAGGTTTTATTATCTTTAAATCTTTTACTGAGACAGTATCACTATTACCATAGTCAATAAACTGGATATCTACTTTAGAATTTGGAAGCTGCCTTTTGATTACAGCCCGGTACAAACTATCATCATCTCTGAATCTGGCTAAGCAAGGAGATCCTGATCTGACATCATCAATTGGAAGATGCTCATCTTGGTTCAACAAATCCATCAGTTGATCTAACTCTGCACATGATTTTGCTGGCTGGCACCAGAACTGATTAGGATTTTCAATATGGCTGACTACAACATCTTCATATCCTCCCACTCCAACTGAGTCAATAACATATGACAATGAGGGTTCCCTTCTTTGTTTACTCTCAATCCTATCTGGTTTCTGTCCAAAACCTCCCCTGCCAGGACTTCCAAAGTTAGTGGTTCTGTTAGATGGAACACTTAATCTTCCACTGTCTACACTATCCTTTTGTGGTGGAGTTAATCTCGCATTTTGATTTCCTTTTATTGCTGGCATTCCAAAAACATCATCACTTATATTGCTTCTTTGTGAATTAGACCTTTCTTTTTTGTTTTTAGAAGATGCAAGTTCTGAGCTCATTTTCTTCCCATTCCATTCCAGGTCAACTTCGTATACACCACTAGATTCTGTAAGAATACTACAACTAAACTGTTCAATCCCTGAGGCAACATCTGCAAATTGTTTCACCATTGACTTACTGGTTCCTTTGGTCTGCATCCCCTTTACTACACACTTCAGTCCTTGGATTGGCAGCTCCAAGAACTCGGGCAGGATTTGCTTAACATCTGTCACAGATACCCGTTCAGTGTTACCATAGTCTACGAAGTTGATTTCAAGGCAGCCCATATGTTTATTTACAATAATGCCTCTATACCATCCTTCATCTGCTGTGTATTTTGCAATACAAGGAGTTCCAACAGTTGTTGTGTCTAGACTGTGTTCAGATCGCTCCAGCTTGCTGTAATGCTGGTCTATTTTATTCATGAGTTCATCCAGCATTCCAGAGGTTTCAACAGACTGGCACCAAAATTCTGCTGGTGAGCAAGCATGTGATATATACACAGGAAGCTTACATCCTGGACGATATGATGCATCTTTAAAGCCAAGAACAACAAGTGATGGAAGACTTGTTGTGGAACCAGAGTTGGACAAATTACCCTGGATAAGGCTATCCTGAGAATTATTTCGGATTAATTGTCTACCTTTAGAACTCACTCTTGAAGATGATCTTGAAGATTTACTACTATATGAGGATTTTGTTGATTTAGCAAGTCCCTTATTGACCATGGCTTCATTGATTACTTTATCTTCTTGAGTGTTTACAAGTTCTACAAGTGATCTTCCAGATTCTTCTTGACTGATTACATGAAGTACTAATTTCTTATCTATCACCATTTCATTAAAAACTGTAACGCTTTGTTCACTCCAGGAAGCACCAATTGGTGCTATATCAACCAAAGAGCATGCAATGGCTTGCTCTGGCAGGTTCTCAAATTTGTGTTGAAGTGGCTTAAGGTCACTTGTTTTTACAAGTGATATATTACCATAATCAACAAACTGAATACTTGCATCCTGGCCCTTGACTTTGAGGATTTTTGCTCTGTACCAAGATTCGTCGGTGTACTTCGCACAACAAGTCAATCCGGCTTTAGCTTTTGATCCAAGACTTTGGCTAGAGTTACTATCATATGCTTCAAACAGATCATCCATTAAAGCATCAATCTCTGGTATCTTTTCAGAAATGTGGCACCAGAAATTACCTGGATCCTCTGAATGAGATATCATAACATTCTCATATTGTCCTTTGGTGAATGTTATAACATCATAAGGATTAGTAGCGACTCCAGCTGCTCCACTTCCAGCCATCTTTAAAAGCTTGACAGAGAGGTTGCTTCTGTCACTATCAAATAACTGTACTTGGTACAAATCGGATTTAGTGTTGTACTGAAGTGCATTTATTGAAAGTTCTTTGTTCAGTACGAGTTCCTCAAATCCATAGGTGATGTCTCCACTCCATTCTTGTCCACCACTCTGTATTCCCATTAAAGCACACTTGATTCCCTGAGAAGGCAGCAACATGAAATCCTTATGAAGCTCTTTCAGTTTAGACCCTTTGAGTACTTCTATATTCCCATAATCAACAAAAATAACTTGAACATCTCCATTATGATACATACCAGTAATCTTAGCTCTGTACCATCCATTATCTGCTGTATATTTAGTGATACATGGCATACCCAGTTCAGGAATGCAGGTCTCATCATTTGGACCTAGTTTTGAATAGTGATCATGAATAGCATCAACAATTTCATCCATTTTTTCTGCAGAGTCACTGAGTTGGACATAGAAGCACTCTGGGTTGTCAACATGACTAACATACACTTTTTGTTCCACACCAATCTGAAGAGTTGATTTTGGATAGTTGAAGCTGTTTGATATTTGCTGTTGTAGCAATGCATGATGAGTTGATTTAGTTTGCCCTCTTGGTAACTGCTTTTGAGGTTCCTGTGACTGAAGTAACTGCAGTCCAATATCTGAACTACCATCAATCAATTTGAGGCGGAATCTTCCATCTGCTTCAGTTTGCAGAACTATTGCAGTTAGATTTTTCTCCTGAGTTAAGCTTTCAAATTTGCTTGTCAGTGACTCAATGTTAGCTTCATTGAAAGCAACATCTACACAGCAATCAATACTCTGCTTTGGAAGAGTAATAAATTCCAACTGAAGATCTTTGATCCTGTTTAATGGCAGTCTCTCACTGTTACCATAGTCAACATATTTGACCTCTGCTTCCCCACCATTCAAATTGGTGATTTCTGCACGATACCACCCATCATCCTCCGTGAACTGGCAACAACAATGCATACCTCTTGAGGAGTTGGTGAGAGAAATATTACTACTGTTAGTAGTGTAATAACTGTGCATTTTGTCCATCATTGCATCAAGCTCTGCAGTAGAATTCTTCAGTTGACAAGTGAATCTACTAACGCTGACAACACTTGTTACTTCTACTGAAATCTGCTGACCAGGGTTCAGTCTGATAGATGGAATAGTTGGAACATTTTGTCCAGCATCACCAGCACAAGAGGGAATCATTAATCTTGACAAAAGATTTTGTCCAACGTTGTCAGAGAGAATTATAAAATACTTGCCTGGCTGGACCTCTTTCATAACTTGAGCAGATAAATTTTGATTTACTTGTCTTTTAAACATTACTAATGCATCTTGGGAGTAATTAAGTGAATTCTCTGCCTCGACTAGAGTACAATGCACACCTTGCTTTGGAACAGACATAAAAGCCGTACTTATTTTTTTCAAACGGCTAATTGGTAATACTTCTCTATTACCATAATCAACGTATTCAACTTCTATACCTCGTCCTTGCATGCTGACTATTTCAGCACGGTACCAGTTATTGTTATTAGTATATCTAGCACAGCATGCCATGCCAGGAACAACTCCGCCTAATGCAAGATCATTTGGCATTAGCGCTGAATAGAATTGATCTATATCACTCATCAAGGCATCAAGCATAGGGATGTTTTGGGTCACATGACAGACAACATCTGTGAAACTATTGATAACAGCCACTGTAACAACGGAAGAAGACCCAACTTTTAAAACCTGATTCTTCAGAGATAACACTTGGTTAGCATTATGAGACAAAACCTTGGATGGTGGTTGTTGATTTCTTGGAAGTAAGCCAGATGCAATGCCCTGACCTCTGACATTTCTTTGTGAATTATGAAGGATTGGTTGTCTCTGCATTCCTATAGGTGGTGGTGATACTGCATTGTTGCTTGATGATGTCATACCTTTGAAGTGTCGATTAATTTCAAGTCTGTCGTGATCGAGCATACTAACCTCAAAATGGCGCTCTGGGGTTACATTGATGACCTTAACAACAAATTCTTTTCCCAACACCATATTTTGAAAAAAGTTGTTCTCAGATTCTGACCATGACAGACCTAGTGGTTTCACATTCCATAGTTTAAATTCCAATCCTTGTATCGGAATATCTACAAACTCTTGTTTACTAATCTGTTTTAAGTTTGAAACATGGACTTCTTCTAAGGTGCCATAATCCAAGAACTTTGCTTGGATCATGTCATTCCGTGGCAGTGATACCAACACAGCTCGATACCATTTTCCATTTTTTGACTTGACACACCCCACAGACCCTGGGACAAGATAATCATGTGGTAAATTTCCCTCAACTGTTGGTAAGAGTACTTCATGGAAAAGACTCAATTCTGTCGTGAGTTCATTGATTTGATTGTAGTGAGCCACCAGCTGACAAGTAAAGTCTTGTGGAGTATTGACATGACTTGGTGTGACAGCATATGTACCCCCAACATCCAAGGTTAAGAACCGCATTGACATGGCTATATTAAAACAAAAATATGATAATGTTCTTAAATCAAATATTAACATGTACAAAAAACATATTAAGATATCCTTCATTCATTATTGGAGGGCATAAAAAATACATTAAAGAACAAGAATACATATAAGTGTAATAAAAGATAAGAACACAATCATATAATATCAATAACATTTCAATGTACACTAACAACAAAATAAAGATAAAACCCATCATTATTGGCATTCAAAAATTAAGTTCAAAATTAACCTTGAGTTGAGATGACTGCAGCCTACAGTATGTCATTTTCACACCGATGTTAAATAATCGGCTGTAAACGATTTGATATTACAAAGTAAACATGGCATTACTTATTGTGAATATACTAAATTACAATAATTTTGAAATATAAAAACAGTTCAGTAATAAAAAGGTAATCATTTTTATTGACTTTAATCAGCTTAGCACAGCATAGAAAATTTAGTCTACTCTAACTTATGCACCTAGGTTTTGGCATAACTCTTTGATTCCAGGATCCTTCTGACCTGGGAGGACAGTTACCAGAAAGGGTCAATTAATTGAAAAATTTTTTTTTATTGATTTAACCAAAAGATTTTATATAAAGTGCACTCTCCCAACACTGACCCCCTCCCCGGACCGGTTACAATGTTCGGTTTTCCGAAAAGTTTGCTTTGTAGAACATTTCTATTGAACTCTTTCTGAACAAGGCTGTTGTAGGCCAACTAGGGCCTAGCCGCTGAAATAGGCATAGCAAAGCCCCGTCGGTTCAGTATGACAAGCCTACGAAAAGTTAACATATTATTTAACATATAATACGTACAGTACTCTATTCACACTATTCTATTTTATACATCCAATAGAAAACTCAATTTAAAAAAAGAATACTGTACTTAGTTAATGCACTCAAACTTTTGTTGTTTTAATATTAAACATTTCACATCATTGTTTTTGCATTGCAAATTATTGTTATAAGTTAGTAGTAATTCAACTGTAACTCATTCTTAGGCCAATTAAATTATAATTACAAAGAATATATGTACGTCATCATTGAATCTATAATGCGTTTTTTTTTTTTCAAACTTCTATGTCATCATTGAATCTATGTCATCATCATTGGAGTTGAATAGCTCAGTGGTTAAGGTGCTTGCCTCTCATCCCAAGGTCCTGGGTTCATTTCCTGTCACAACAAAAACAACTCCACTCCCTAAGCCTCATAAAGAGACTTTGCTGATAAAACCATCACATTATTTCATTTATTTAAAGAGGGCCCCTGAATATCAGTCGACCTTGTAGGATATGCTGGAAGGGTCACCCTCTAAAAAAAAAAAAAAATTAATTGTATGAAACCATGCCAAAAACCCCCTATTAAGGGGATAATTAAAGTGACAATTTTACATTTTTGGTCAGTGTAGGCTGAATAGGGGTACCCCTGTAACACTATTCAGGGGACACCCCTATTAAGTGGACACTTTTTTTGGGTCCCGAGGGTGTCCCTAAATAGGGGTTCTACTGTATATCGGTTTGGTTTTCTCATGTATTGTGTCAGCTAATAACCTTGTTTTATAAATAATAAAGGCTGCAACTGTATTGTGCATACTGTAAATGGTTTATAATTTGGTTATGCTCATTGTAATTTGAAACTCCAAGTATTATTGTACTTAATACTATATTATTATTGCTTTTAATACTTAAGTCTAAGTCTAAATGATATTTAGCCAACATTAGTTTAATATAGAAATGACTGGAAATGCCGTTTTTGACCCTACACATGCTTCAAATATCATAGTTACTGAGTCCTTATTATCTCCACAACTACTGGTGGTAGAGAGTTAATTTTGATGCCAATTTGTTCTGAATATTCATGTTTTTATTTACTTTAAAATAGAACATTTTACTAAAATATGACCGAAAAAGCTGCTTCTGACCTTTGACATGTTTCAAGGTCATAGCAATAGAATCCTTATTATATCTCCACAACCACTGGTGGTAGAGAGTACCAATTTGTTTGAAACATTCATGTTTCTATTTGGAAAAGTTTGCTAAAAAATGACTGGAAATGCTGTTCTGACCTTTGACATGTTTCAATGCATATGCCTATCCTTATACATACTGTCTGTAGAGACTTGTAATCTCAAATTATTCATTTACACATGTTTCTTTTTACTGGATTGGACCATTTAAAAAAAAAACAAATATTATGCCGATATGACCATTGACCCATGTCACAAGGTTTAATTTGGTCTAATTTTGTCAGTAGACAATTTTATTTACAAGAAATATAATAAATCAGATCAAGTCAAGTCGGTCTAATTGAATATATGATACAAAAGTTACCTGAAGTGCACCTCCGACTAAGTGTTCAATGGATTTATCTCTCTGTAACTACTATACTGCTGTAGTATAATATCAATTAAAGCAAATAGGCATTTCATATCTGTAAAGTCTACTAAATGTAGACAATAATCAATTTGACACCAAAGACAATATATGTATACATTCAGTGTTCTTCCGAGGCCCTTGAAGTGTCACGGTACCACGACGCTTGGGATTTCACCGTGATGTTCCCAAGCTGGCCGTGACGCTTGATGAGTCTTCGGTGACGCTTTAAAATATCGTCTATAAAAAAATTTCAAAATAAACAATGCTGTCCATGTATCCTAGTTTGAAGAAGAGTGAGTGTTAAAATATTTTTAAACAAAACAATGCTATCTTACGATGTTGGTTTATCAACCAATCAATGCTTGATCTTTTTGCGTTCAATTTTTCGTTGATCTTTACCTTGAGAAATGTCACTTTCTTTTAAAAACACGATCATTAGTTTGATTCACACAAATTGTTTGCTTCAAAACTGTTATGCGTGTCCATGCCCAGAACGATCTATCTAGATTTTCCTTACCACATGTACTTCTTGTCAGCGAAGTCACAACGCTATCGTGTTTGTGCTTAATAAAAAATTAGGCTATAGGCCCAGGCCTATGTTGAATTTGGTGGTTGTTTTTTTTTTTATAATAAACAACGTTTTTAATATGATAATAATACTTTACAATGTAGAAAAGTAAGTTTAGATAAGTGTCAGTCAGTACTGTATAGGCAGACTACGTGGCCGACGATTTTTTAGCTATCTAGCCTAGCTAGGGCTGGCCTGCCCAGTGCCCCTACTCCAAACGAATAGGTAAACAAGAAAGACAAGACGATACACACAAAATAGTATGTAGGCCTATGCTTATTAAAAATAAAGAAGATGAAGATTTCACGTTTGCTTCGATAAATAAAATATAGAAAGACAGCAATAAAAAACAGCTATGAGTTGTAAACATACTAGAAGCAATATAATTTATTAATCACAAATATATCAAACACTCCTGTGTTCTTCCTCAGTGTGAGGACAACTCAAACTGTTCTTAAACATTACTCTAGTACTGTTTATACTTTATTTGTTTTTTTTTTGCAATAATACTGTCCAGTACTGTAACTAAATGATAAACCTATTTTTTTTCATATGAGGACTCTTTTTTGTACTGTAGGTTTATATTACATACTGCTCTACAGTACTTTAATTTACGTTTGCTATGAATTTGCTTAATAACTGAATACTATCAATTGTCCTCAATTACAGTAATAGATAATCAAGAATATACATTAAAACGAAAAACATTGATGTTGTATAATCAAGAATATACATTAAAACGAAAAACATTGATGTTGTAATAACATATAATTTGTTTTGTATATACGTATTTACAACAGAAACGAAATAACTTTGCTGCAACCTTATGTTAACATCAGTTTCTGTCATAACCCAACTACAATGTTTACAACATTATTAGTAAATATTAAACAATAAGTCAATTTTCTGTAACTGGCCTCTCTCCATTTTAATAAACCTAATGATTGTTGTATTTCTACCTTCTTTTTTATGTTTGCTTTTTGTTTTTTGTCTGCTTGATAAAAATAGTAATTAAATTCAGCCAATAACACAATGTAAAATCCATAGTAAGGGAATAGGGGTTTCCACTGATTAAGGGCTGGCCGTAGCTTTAAAAGATATACTCATTTTGTGGCTGAAAATGTGTCCCCTACATTTCATTTCATTTATTTATTCACGAAATAAACATTGTAAGGGACAGCTAAAGAAACAAGTCTATGACCCAGAGGCCAGCTGTCCCTTTAAATACAAAGTAAAAAACATATAAAATTTAAAATTTAATCTATATACAAAAACATGCCAAAAAAAACCAAAAAAAAAACCATTTAAATCGACTGTTGACTGATAACTTATTGTTTAAGCTTTAAAATAAATTGTTTGAATGTATGAATTAAGTATAAAATCATTTGATTGTGATTGGTAATGATGTCCAGAAGGCGGGAAAATATGTACAGGGGTATTTTTCAAAGCAATAGTGCGAGAAAATGGATAGTTGCATCACTAAGGAGAGGTTCTACTGTATAAAGAGTGCCATTTCTAGGCCAATTAAGCAAATTTTTTGAAATGGGTTGTGGAAAGGTGTGGAAATAGTTTTTTGGCCTTAAGTTTAGACTATTTCATACCTTGTTTCATGAACTTATTTTTTTTTAAGATCGTCAGAGGAGAAAATAGTTTTTCGAAAAACATCCAGGCGGAGAAAAAAATAAAAATGAAATTTTATTGTTGAATGTAAACACAGTATTATGGGATGGTTACATAAAAGCTTTAAATTTAGATAATTAGGAAGAAGTAGGCCTATACATATTCTATTTTTGGAGATTTCAAGGCAGCAGAGAGCATAATCAAAATAACAAAAATTTTTTTTATTTTTTTCTGAAATTTCCATTTTTTGTGGTGGTGGGTGCGCTAATTGGTAAACTATTTTATTTTATTTTTATTCAAAATCATCATTATTGGCACTAAACAATGTATAACAACATCTTGCCTAATAATGCACCGCGTGGGTCGCTTTGTTACACGCTATACGTACTTGTGTTGTAGAGAGTGTAATTTCGTAAGCAAGGCTAGCCTAGCCTAGGGCCTAGATTCAGTTTATATTTGACCAAAAGATGGTCAGGGGCAGCTTAAGCAAACAAATCAATACAACTTTTTCAAGCCAGCTGCCCCCCTCCCTGATTTTTTCTTGGTTTTACGGGCTTTACAAAATAAGATATTTTTCTTTTGAGTAAGATTCTTTAATTCTTTTGTGATCCATGGACTAGAATGCCTGTGAGCTTTTTGAGATATCCTAGGAATACTTTCGCGCACAGAATGTCCATAAAGTTTTCCCAAGATACATTGATGTCGTGTTCAACTAAATATGCAGACCATGGGACAAGATGCAACAGTTTATTGAGATGATTATAATCAGCTTTGGAATGCTGTAGGTATTGCCTAATGACAGGTTTCGGAGGGCTGGATTTTCTGATCTGCAGTTTAAATGTAACGGCAAGATGATCACTTTCCACGGGGTTCTCGGACACAAAAACATTAGAGATCTTTTCTGGAAGATTTGTGTACACAAGATCAATCACAGTTCCTGAGTGCTCATCATTTATTCCAGGTCGAGTAATTTCATTTACCAATTGAAAAAGGCCCAAATGTTCTGTAATATCTCTTAGCAAAGACTCATTTGAGCCACACTTGGAAACATCTATATTGAAGTCTCCTGCTAATAAAACTCCATCATATTTCTAAAATGACGATTGAATGGCATGAAGAGAATTATACAATTTGTCCCAGTATGCTACAGGAACAGACGGACCAATTAGCCATTTCATTCTTCCCATTTTAATAGAGATCCAGAGCAATTCAATGATTTCGTCAAGTTCAACAATTTCGGACTGATGTACATTTTTTACAGCAATCAAGACACCACCTCCTTTTTGACCTCGATCCCTCCGATAAACGTTGTAATCAGGAATATGGAGAAGAGCTGAAGTGTCACTTGGAGATAACCATGTTTCATTGAGCATTAAAACATCCGTACGGTGAGTTGAGATATGTGAATTTAATTCCAGTCCTTTGTTTCGTATACTCCAAGCATTAAAAGAAACAAAGTTTAACATTGCGAAATAGAACAATAAAACACTCACAAAGTGGATGAAAGATAGTGTACGCCCTTGATTATCGCGGTGACAACTTCGGGTGACAGACGATCAGGCCGAACTGCTGTGGACGATCGGGCCCCAAGCCAATTTTGAATATACTGTAGTCTAGTAAAACTACCGCTAGCTCCCCACCCCGGATATCGTTCAAAGCTAAAAAGAAAATACTGTATAGGCCTACATAATTTTTTCAACTTTTTGATAGGCCTACATATTCAGCAAACTTTCAAAGTACCTCATTTATTAGTGTGCTAAAAATATTTGCTTTCTGGTACCCTCACTGAAGCAGGGTTGGGAAAACTATCCCCCCCCTCTCCCTTTATTTTTTGAAAGTAAAAGAAAGAAATAATTAATTCTCCCAAAAACCCGTCAGAGGTTTATTTTTAGGCATTTTTGGGAGAGAAAAATACTGTAGGACCCCTGTAGAGTGGTGTTGTCTTGTACATCTCTGGATCCACCCCGGCAGGACTCTATTCGGCCCCTTAGTTCGGACGCCACTGTTGTAAGACTCCATGTCCTGTCAGCAAGTTTTGGCTAATGATTTTTTAAAATTTTCGTCAAATTGTGACTAAAGACAGCTTCAATTGGCTAAAAAAAATTGTTGACTTTAGCCAATTGGCTAAACAAAAAAATATGTTAGAGTGAGCCCAGAAATAGCAAAATGAAATAAAACACCAAACACCAAACTATATTGCTTCATTAAACATTTATCATCATATTCCACTGACGTGGAACTGTGGAATACCGTACAGACCTGAAATTCTATTATTAGGAACATAGTTTCACTTCATGGTTCTGCTACGAATTCAAAGACAAACAGGCAGACTGATTTGTTATTTGGTTATTTAATTTTATGCAATTGTGATATTTATTATTTTTAAAGGACTACCACCAGTACTTAATAAATAAACAAAGTTATAGAAACTATTAATACTGTATGCTTATCAATAACAACCTGTTAACTATTTAAAGAGAAAATTCTAAAAAAAACTGATGTATACATTATATACGCCTTTTCCACGAATCGGTAGAAATCTTGAAGTGGTGACAAACAACAAGTCAGTGGTGCGTAACAAACAGAAATAAGATAAGCTTTGAGGCTGAATTCTTGTCCTCATGTTATCTAAAAATTTACAACTCCATAACGGAGGGTCGTATACATTAATTTTTTTCTGGAAAATGTTCTCAAAAGGCTATTCTACACCACTATATGATTGAAAAAAAATTGAAAAATGTTTTTGACCTCTGAAATCAAGATGGGAAAAAAAATCCTAAAGTAGTGTATAAAATAGGCCTATGCATTACACTGCAGTAGTACTAGTAGTACTCTAGACTGTTTTAGTTACTATATGAGAGTTTCCTGTGTTAAAAACATGATTTACTATACTATACTTTTCTATAAAACATAACTTGTACTTTATAATAAGAGAAATCTGTATTAATATACCTAAAACAGTAACAATACGAAAATACTATGCTACTGCACTGCAATGCATTATTCCTATTTTAATATTTAATCCCTTCAAGATGTCTACTGATCCGTGGAAAAGGTGTATTGGTGGTTTTACTACTCCTAGCCAATGTTATTTATAGACAGACGTAAGAACTAGGAAATTCCCCAGCCAGCCGGAGTGTAGGCTTAGAGGGTTTAATTTAAAAAGTGTCTAGGCCTAGCCCATTGTTAGCAAAGTTTAGGCCTACCTGACCACAGCTGTGGTAGGCGAAAGGTATGGCCTAATTAAATTCTGTGCTGTTTACACTGGCGAGTCCAGATTGCACCCGGGTTGTCCTATGTTTAATGCGTCCCGCACGTCCATCCCAGAATGTTTGGCAACCCGAGTCAGACTTTTTGACGTTTACACTAACCACAACTCGGGAGATTTTAACCTGGGTATTGGGAGATTTTAACCTGGGTATTGGAAAATCCCGGGTTATGTCCGGAAATTTGCCTGCAGTGTAAAAGGGGTATTACAGACTTAAATATTACAGATTTTAAATATTATTGATATAATAATAATGTAAACATTAACAGTTATAGCCTACTACTAGTCTATTAACTAAAGCTGATGACAGTGTTAATTTTAAGTAGATAATAATAAACAACCACAGTTCAAGGAAGGCGAAAGACCTAGCCTAGAGCTAGGCTAGTCAGCATGCATGCTACCACTACGCCAGCGTGCATTGTTTTGGAGCGAGAGACGATACTATTGATGATGATGGTTCTTTCTATATACAGAAGGGGGTAAATATTAATATTATAATAAGCTTCTTTCACATTGTTATGTCCTCTCACTTAATTAATATTAATATATGCAACATTAGTATAACTCTGTTAGCCAAATACTTACTTGAGTTGAGGTTTATTTCATTTGACAGTATAGTTTTGTAAGTGAAAAATATTCATACATCAACAGGCAATATGTCGCTAACCCGATCGCGGGCAACGAAACGGAACATGTGGTTGGATTGGACGACGAAACGAGGGAGAGATAGGATATTTACACGGCCATGGGTCACAGTCCGTTCGAAGTTGTAGTCTTTTTGGCACGGGAACAATTAGTAGGCCTACATTATCTAAAACGAATAGGCCTAGCCTATACAGTGGCCTATCTATAAAAAAAATCACTCCGCCCCCCCCAGTTTCCCCCACGCTCAAATAGATTTAAACAATTACCTATTTTAGCTCCCCCTTACTTAATCATTGACAAACACACCATCACCATCCCCACAGTAGATCCCTCCTTTGGGACACCCCGATTCACACGTACTCCTCTATTTATGGGGGACAATTTTCCGGGAAACGAGGGGAAAACGCTACCGCCAGCCCATATTATTAAGGGGACGGGGACACATCTGAATATGCATGATAGTCCTGACCACAAAGGGGACCCTTTTTTCATCCAAGAACTACACTGCAAGCAGTGCATCGTCTCAAGATGAAAATTCAACTTTATTTGACACCTTTTGAGCATAAACCTGAATTTTCTCCCCTGAATCCGGAGTGAACATCGGTATAGTCTTAGGTCTACTGTTTGTGTTACCGTACTTTGTAAACCAATCTTGTCAATTTTGACCCTTTATAACCATAGGGATTTCTTTTTCTGTTTTTCGTGACTGTCATATACGTTTCTGATCCATAATATAACATGCACTTTTAATTCCAAGTCGTTATTCTATTCATGCTACATCCATCCAATAGAAAACTCAATATTTAAAAAAAAAAATGATTGGTCATTAACATGAAATAATATTGGTAACATAAAACTATTGTTGTTTTAATTACATCTGCTGATTTCATATTTTAAATAATTTTTAGGTCTATTTGCATTGCAAATATTGCTATAAATTAGTTCTAATTCTACTGTGACTAATTCTTATCTCAATAAAAAATAAAATTACTGTATAAAGAATGTAAAGTATGTCATCTTTGTATGAAAATATGCAAATACCCCTATAAAGGGGACAATTTCGCGTTTTTGGTTAGTGTCACCTGAATAGGAACACCACTTTTGTTAATCCCGAAGGTGTCCGCTTGGGTTCTCTGTACACCACTGCTCGAATGTAAACACAATAGGCATAATCTCGAAAATAAGCCCCCATCTTTAGTTTAAAAGTAGGCTATCTCGAAAAGAATACCATCTTGAAGATTCAAAATTGTTAATTTTAGGGCCCGATGACAAATGTACACACGTTTATTAAATTAACATACACGCCTATATTTGTTATTTTATGGCCATAAATGCTATCAAAATCTCAGGAATTTTTTATATAATTTATATGATATTTAGTAGTCCAACAGATTGTAGTCGGCATGTTTTGATCATAGGCTTAATTGAAAAAAAATATATGGTTTTATTGTGAATTATTAAAAGATATTACAGAATTTCGAATTCCATGTTTGAAAAATGTACTCAGTAGTCCTATACGGTTTTATAGTAGCAATTCCAAATATTAGCAGCGATTAATTTTGAAAAGACGACGCACCCCTCCCCCTTTTGTTTCAAAAATTGACCTCGGAAATGAAGCCCATTTCAAAAAGAATCTCATCTCGAAAAGAAGCCCATTCAAGGATCCTAAAAAAGAAGCCCAAGGTTACGCGGTATTTTGCTTATTCACAACAGTGGTATCCAAACAAAACACTATTTATGAAACGAATTGTCTTTTAAAGTAGGCGCCTACACCGATACCAGGGCCCATCTAATTTAGGCAGTTGACTAATAATATTTTTCCATGCTCGTTCCATGTTACCTATTATCACGTATTCCCGTAGTTCAGTAGACCTATCATAGGTTAAATATCATCGTAAACAAACGTTTATAAAGAAATGCTTGTGTCTTCCTTGTGTGATATAACCTATTCATTTTAAAAATGTATACATTGTATTTAAAACTCTGTTTCATTACACACAAACATATTTTTATTCTTGTGAGAGAAATGAAGCTTAGTGCGGCGCTTATTGAGAGCGGCGCTTATTCAAGAGCGGTGATTATTTGAGCATTTACGGTATTTAAGAGTCAATTAATGTACGTTCAAATAGACCTAATAAACTAAACTGTCTTGTGGGTACCAAATCAAATTTAGAATAGGCTTAATAGCAAAGTTTCTCAGTGCATTAACATGGGAAGCACATTCTCTCCCAGAAAACCCTACATTCGAAATCGCCGCCCCTTACGATCCAGTCGCCACTAAAGCCATCAAATTGCATTTAAAATTACAGTAATTAATTTTGTAGATCAACGAAACATGAAAAACAGTCACCGTGCCACGAATACCGTTTAATAATGAAATTAATTCCACACTAATTAGCGCTGTTTCCTCTGACGAACATTAGACCCATACAAACACGTGGCCGTTCATTGTTCACGGTTACATTGCACCAACTGTTACCGCCGCTAAAAAGTTCGTGATACAATTAGTTCTCGCAAATTGTCGAGTATGCCAACGTGGTCGCAGAGCGGTACATGTATATGTGAGAACAACTAGGCCTAACTATCACTGTATCGCAAAGGTCTTATTTTATATCTAAAATGGTTTCTTGTTGCTTTCCACGTCTGGTGATTTTCATCCTGGCAATCGCAGACCTAACGGTTGCTGAGCTGTTTTCTTCATTGTCTCATCTAAAACACCTAGGAGATGTCGAGTTTGAACTTATCGCCGCAAGTCGGAACTACGTGGCTAAATCGTCAGTGTTGTTACTCAACCCGTAAGTATGCAATTCTTGATGATTTTTTTTCTGGTATAATTGTTATATTTAGAGACGAAAAAACAATGAGGACAATATGTTTTTAACGTTATGACATAATATCACACACTGTCAAGTATGTTCTTCAAAGCCTAGGCCTATGCCTTTAATACAGAATTCGTATCTGAAATTGTCAGCCAAAATAACATCGAATTTTACGCTCAAAAAGCAGTCATTTATTATGTAATTGGGTTCTGGGGATTAGGGTAGGCCCTACCTGTCGGGAGAGCTCAACAAGATTCGTCAACAAATAGACAGTAAATTATATTTACAAGATTTGGTGAACATTAAACCAATTACTTTTGTGTGTGTGTGTGTGTGTGTGTGTGTGTGGACTCCGTTCCACTGATAAACACCTTCCGCAAGTCCCTTTACTTAACATAAAAGCAAAGCAAATGGTAAATTTTCATTTTCTGTTCAGGCCCCCTTCCCTGGAACAGTACGGTACCCATTTATAGTAAACAGTCTATTTAAGAAGAATCTGAAAACTTTCTTATATTTTAAAGTTTTTTTAGTCTGTACTGGTTTATTTTTCACTTTTGCCTTTAAATTTTCTTTTAATCGGCGCAGTAAAAGTGCCTGGTTTATTATTATTTATTTATTTATTTATTATCCCAGCCAACAGCAAACATAAAATTCGCCACTTACAGGAGGGAACACAAACATCAAACGGATACATAAATATAGTAAACGTGAAGAATACAAAAATAAATACAAAAAGTAATAATAATAATAATAATAATAATAAAAATAATAACAATGTGATAATAATATCAGATTAAGTGGGCCTAATATGTAAAATATTTCTAACACTGTTACGGAACATAGAGAAATTATCACTAAAAATATCAATATCAGGATTCCTTAAAACAAGAGAATTATCACTAAAAATATCAATATCAGGATTCCTTAAAACAAGAGAATTATAAGCTAAGCTTAATCTACTAATAAAACCATTTTTAAGCACGTTAAGTCTACTAAAGGGAATATGAAAAGTACGATTATCTAAGACGATGACTGGGGACTCTAAGACTAGTCTCTTATACACATCTAGATGTGTATAAGAGACAGATCTAAGACGATGACTGGGGACTCTAAGACTAAAATTATATAATAATAATAATAATTATTATTATTATTATTATCATTATTACTATTATTACATATGAATCAATATATATATATATATATATATATATATATATATATAAAGGTATATATATATATATATTAATGAAATAATGTCTTTTTGCATCCATAGTGAGTATATTGGTGAATATCCTAAAGTTCGTCAAGAGTATTTAGAAGAAATATCAAGGTATTATCAATAATACTATTATTAGTACTATTATTATTATTATTATTACTCGCGAGGCTGTGAGGTATTGGTGGCGGGTGCAGATATTTAAAGGAGGGGTGCTGAAAGAAGGGAATTTCTGTATAAATAATATAGGTTTAACGGCATTTTTATACACAATTAATTTGTTTCTTAATTGAGTAGGCCTATTATTTGGGGGTCGTTATTGGTGCGGTTTTCGACTGAAAGTTCATAACTTAATTATATAGACAAATTGATCAATTCAAATTTTAAGCCAAAAAAAAATCTTGGTTTTTGACTGATAGTATATCTTTAAAGTTAAAAAGGTATAGGTATATCTTTAAAGTTTAAAAGGGGCGTAACTGCCCATTTTTACACCTTATTCCCCCAGTTTTTAAATATAAAAAAATCTGTATCTCATTCACCGTTCCCCAGTTTTTCGTCAAACAACTTTTTTCTGTCTTAGAAAAATCAGTTCTACAACATATCAATTTTTTTTCCTCCGGAGCCAGACTTTAAATAAAAATGGTAAAAATAAATTATACATACATGTTAAAATGTTGTGATGGATGTAGACATTACTTACGATATTCGTCATGTATTGAATTATGGTATTTTATTGATTAACATGGTAATTTATTTTATTCCATTATATTTAGTTATCATATATATCGCGTTTGTATCAGCCGCTCTCACTAAAGTGGTCGTTCCACTTACCATACGTACTGAATACTCTCCTGCTTCCTTCACTGTACTGTACCATAGCGTGATTTGAATAATGAATTCTCACATGTGAAGCGTGACAAGTCCTCGTCCAATATTTTGTAGACTCGTGTTATTGTAAAATAATTTTTTACGATATTTTGATGGCATAAGTAGGAACTCAAAATATGACAATAATGATAAAACATTTAAAAGAATGGTGCTACGATATATTTCTTTCAGAGCTGTGCACGCGTCTGGACGGTAAATCGGCACGAAAATATTGTCCTTACTCAAATTAGTATATTATTAATTATATTATAGTATAGGCCTATTATTATTATTATCATTATTATTATTATTATTATTATTATTTTTATTATTATTATTATTATTATTATTATTTCTATTATTATTATTATTATTATTATTATTGTTATTATTATTATTATCGTCATCATCGCCGTCATTATTAATAGTCTTATCATTATTATAATATATTAATATCATCACTATCATATATCATATCGTTGGTAATTTAATGTTATAAATAATTTTACAATTGCTATAACATTCTCCCTTTACAGTTTCATTGAAGAAGTTGAACCGATTTCTATGGAAGCAGTTCAGGATATGTCAATCCACGTGACCCATCCAATTCATGTTTATCAATTAATTCGACGATTTGTAACTTTCTGGAACAAATTGAAAACATTGGTAGATTGGGAAGCTGGGAGAGGTAGGTAAAACTTGAAGCTACATTTTATAATCAGGTCATGTCTCCTCTCAGTATATATCTCGATTTTTTTTAATTCAATATATAACATATATATAAAAAATAGCGGCAATACAGTATACACTTCCTTGGTAGGCTAGTCAGTGGCCGACTTGAGCAAGTTTTTGCATACCAAAGTCAAACTAATGTATAAATCTATACTCAAAAGTTCGTCATAAAAAATATGAAAACCTTAAATATTCAATTAAAACAAATATATTTTGTTATTATATTGATTTTCTAATGTAAATTTATCAATCATTTACTTGTTTTGCATTTATTTGTTTATTTTCTTATCTGCATTTTTTTATCTGTATTTTTTTGAACTTGCAATTTTTAGCTTAAGATGTAATTTTGTGCAATTTTCTTGTAAATTTCTCTATTTCATTTCATACTGTTATTTATTAATCAATTTGTAATTTTGATGTAATTTTTCGCAATATATTTGTAAATTTCTCTTTTCCTTTTTATACTGTAATGTTATTTATCAATTTATCTTTCGCTTGTTTGTATTTTTCTATATATTTATATGTATTTTAAGACATCCTGTAATTGGCTTCCGCTGTTGGATGATTTTCGAAATAAATAAATAAATAAATAAATAAAAGAGTTGAATGAATTAAAGGCGTATAATAGGTCACAGTCACAGTGTAGTCTATCCTATTGTGAAGGTGATAAAAACAGGCCCACTTAACATTGTCCACCCCACTGCACACCCTACTTTCACATTGGTATATATTCTAGTTTGGGTGGTTTTCGTCCGGGTGGTTTATGTCCTGGGTGGTTTATGTCCGATTACCTAAAATTATAAATAGAGACCTTTTTGAATCACATTCGGATGATCTCGAAAGATGTTGGGTAAAAGTTCAATTTGGCAAGGAAAATGAATCTAACGTTTACCATATTGCAGTTTGCTATTTTCCATGCGAAGGATCTGATAAATCGCTTACTGATGAAATGTATACAGCTCTACTTTCAGAAATTTTTATAATTAAAGAAAACGACGAAAATGCTAAAATTGTAATACTTGGCGATATTAACGGTAAAGTAGGTAACTTAATTTCAGGAGGAAACGATATTAATAATTACAACGGCCAAGGCCTTATAGATTTATGTGATAATGGTGAAATGACCATGTTAAATGGGTCTGATAAGGGTACGCATACTTGGGTACAAAAGAATCGTTCTGGCATACTTGACTATGCCATTGTCTCACAAAATGCCTACGAAATAACTCATGAATTGTTTATTGACGAATTTGGTATACAATTATGGAAGTGACCGAAACATGCTTGTTGTTACAATTAACCAGAAAATAGATAATCCACCTGCTAACATAACTACTACAAAAAGGTCACATTGGAATATTCCTCAAGATTGGGGAGATTTTAGTGATTCTATAACGGACACTTTTAAAAACTGGGATCCTAGCTCACTGAATGTTAATGATGCTTGGAGAGAGTGTAAAAATTAAGTTATCCATGTTGCTGAAAACACGATTGGCTATAGGAAAAAACAAAAAAACAATAAATTATGGCTCGATAAAGAAACAAAAAAAGCAATCAACGAACGTCTTACATTCTGTAGAGCACATCGACTGAGAAGTATAAATATTGTAAATCATTAATTAAACGTAAGATAATGCAAAAAAAGGTGGATAATTGTTCACGAATTATGGAAAAAGACTTTTGGTACGAACTAAAAGGAAAGAACAAAACCAAAATGTTGATTCGATTCTAATCCCAGGTACTTCAATTTATACTTTGAATCCTGAAATTATGAAAAACTCACTGAAATTACACTTCGGCAACATTGCGAATTTTAACGAAAAGTAATGATATTGATAACGATACTTTAAACTCATCCACCTAATACAGGACAATCAGTATTTAGATTTTATAGATATTTCATTTGACGATGTTGCCTATGCTATTTCAAAGCCTAAGAACAACAAAAGCCCAGGAATTGATTGTGTAACAAATGAAATAATTAAACATGGAGATCTAATGATACAATCACTTCAAAAACTATTCAATAAAATAATTGAAAACGAAAGTATTCCTACGGAATGGAATAAAGGAATAATTTTTCCGATCTTCAAAAAAGGAGATCGACGCGACCTCAATAACTACCAAGGAGTCACCCTTAATTCTTGTGTAGCGAAAATTTTTAATCAAATTTTAGCTATTAATATCTCCGAATATATGGAAGAATATAATATTCTGACCGAAGCCCAAGGAGGCTTCAGAAAAGATAGGCGATGTGAAGACCACATCTTTGTGTTAAAAAGCATTATTGCCACAAGGCGTGCAGAAGGTAAGAAAACATTCCTGGCTTTTGTTGATTTCAAAAAAGCCTTTGATTCAGTATGGCGCCAAGGGTTTATAACAGCCGCCAAGCGCATTGGTATTAAGGGCAAACTAATAAAACTTATTGAAAATATGTATTCAAATGTTAAATGTAAAGCAATTCCTCAAAACAATGGAAACTTGAATGTAATTTTGAGAAATCGAATGTGTTAATTACAGGGCAGAAAGTTAACCACTATAGAAAGTGGAACCTTGGTAATAATTTCATTACAGAAGTTGATAAGTACAAATATCTTGGTACTATTATCTCTCGTCCTACACAGACACCTATCATATTGATGAGGTAGTTAAGAAAGGAAACAGAATATTCGCTTATATTACTTCCATTATAAACAATCAAGAAGATTTTAATAGGGTGTATTACGGGGACCTGTTATGGAAGAGGCTTACCGACTATAAAATATGCTCGTTAGGTATGGTTATGTAATAGTAACAGCTCTGTCGACAAGCTTGACAATCTACAATATCGAATGGCTAGAATCATCCTTAAGGCTCCTAGAAACGTAGCAAAGGAAGCGCTTCTAGGAGATCTAGGTTGGGAATCTATCTACCACCTTCAAGATAGATCTAGGATGAGCTATTTCAATAGAGTAAAAAATATGGATGAGTGTAGATGGCAAAAGATTCTGTGTAAAGCATTAATGGAGGTAGAAAATAATCTGAAATGGAAAAATCACATAAAAGAATTATTACAGAAATCTAAATTAAGTGATAACTTTTAATTTAGATCAAGGTAGACTCTGGCTGAAATGTTTTATACATGAAAACTCAATGGATAATACCGAGAAATGGGCCGAAAGTGCTAAAACAAAATCAACATTGAATGAATATATGAAATGCAAACATATACCAAAAGCAGAAACATATCTGTTTGATAAGCTGAATTTTCAATCTGTTAGTCTAAAGTTTAAAGCAGGGACTAACTCATTGAATCTAGAAGGAAGAAAATGTGCATGGTCTAATGGTAAACATACAGGTTACTGTAAAATATGTAATAATGATAGCATCGAAAGCACTGATCATTTTATATTTCAATGTACAAGCCGTAGCAATATTAGAGATAAATACTTTGACGACCTTAAGAACGAAATAATTTTTATTCTGTGCTGAGTTATCACTCTATATATAGTAGAGTCATTTTCATGAGATCCGTGACTAATTTTAGGATACCTTTGTTTCTCGATGGATTTGGCAAGATGGACCAATTTAGATAAAATATAGCTCCTATATACCTCCCAGATATTGGGGGAAAATCCCGTTTGGGGGCGTTTTTCAAAATGGCCGCCTGTTGATTTGGACGCTTGTATCTCGATAACCACTGGTCAGAGAGACTTGATTTTGGTCTCAAATTGTTCACAATATGCATGTTCCTATTTGTTGTAATACAACTTTTCATCAACAAATGGCGGGAAATGCGGTTTTTGAAAGTTTGACCTTTGACCTTGTAATGTCATATCTCAGTAACTACTGGTCATAGAGACTCACAATTGATTGCAAATTGTTCAGGAGATTCATGTTTATATTCGTCCTAATGAAAAAAATATTCAAATAGTGACCGGAAACGGTACATTCTGACCTTTGACCTATTGTAGGTCATTCCATGTCAAATCAACCAGATTAAAAAGAAATTCCTGTATGACCGTCTCAGATATTGATGAAACTTCATAAAAAATGATCCATTTTATGAAAAACCGAAAAAAAAAATTAGCCTCATAGGATATGTAGTTTTCGAGATATTGACTCCTCAAAAACATGGGGCGTGGTTCTTCAAGATGTGCAAACGCAATTTACCTCAACTTTGGAAGCTTATAACTCGAGATTGGTAATAGCTATCAGTGTCAAACTTGGTATTCTAACATAGTTGTCGCCATATTTCACAAATATCGCCTTAGATTAACAGTTATCCCTTCCCTTTTGAAGTTATCTGCACTCAAATTAGCCGCTTTGTTTAACGATGCAAATTTTTTTGTGATTTTCAAGGTCTTGAATGGATATATACCCCTCATATTACAGGTGTATTATCTAAGTGTAGTTGTCTCTAGCCACATGCAAGCGCAGGCCGATCAAATCAATTAAAATTGAATGGCATATATTCAAAGTTGGGACCAGA